AAGAAAGAAAGAAAGAAAGAAAGAAAGAAAGAAAGAAAGAAAGAAAGAAAGAAAGAAAGAAAGAAAGAAAGAAAGAAAGAAAGAGAAAGAAAGAAGCTGGGGATGTGGTTCCATGGTTAAGTGCCCTTGGGTTAATCCCGGTTCTGAAATAGAAAAAAAAAAAAAAGCTACTTGCAAACTGGTGGCATTGAGGGTTGGGGGAGGTCTGGATTTCCTTATAATGACTTCCTGGTGGTGTCTTGGAGAAGACACAGGGCCCTAAGGTGAAAGGGCAAGGTCCACTTCAAACAAATGGAGCCCTAGGCAGCCCTCTGAGAAGACTCTCCACCTGTGTGTTGAATGTAATGCAAAGTGCTGTTGGGAAGATTCCTGTGGATAGGTCAAGGGTGCCTCGGGGTGACCTTTGTGAATGGACAGCTGAAGACCAGAGGGCAAGCCAGAGTGCCTGCCCTCCCCGCTACACACACACAGTCGGGCACTGCAAAGAAGTCTAGAACTGTGGCATCTTCTCGGAATGTGAAGACTCCAGATAAAAGACCCAGGAAGATCTCAGGGTACAAGTCTCCCCAGTTACTTAGAAACAGAAAGACATTGATTTTGAAAGGTAAAGAGAAATGTTTTTTATCCGTTAAAGAAAGGAAATGAGGTTCATATATATAACCATATCAATGAACATAAATGTATTTGTATTATAATGTCATCTGCAAAGTATTAGCTTAAATATTCTACATGAATCCCAAAGGTCTCCAAGGGGAAAACAGTGATAGGCTGAAATATTTTAATAAATAAGAAGTTTTTGTAATATTAACATAGCAATTGGATGGACTTTAAGAAAGAGAGCAGGAGAAAAATCTATTTACCATTGAGTGCACATTTTACCCCAGGAGTATATAAGGGTAATCTTAAACTGTCACTGAAAGGTTTAATGACATGGGTGAATGAGTACTTTTCTATTTTTGATTATTACTTCCTTTCACTAGCTTCTTAATGATTTTTCCTGTGTGTGTCTTGTTATTTTAGAAATTCGTTAAGTAAAGCCTTGGTGAAAAATCACAGCTAGCTCACCCTCTAGTTAAACCAGAGACAAGGGATCATCCTTTTTTTTTTTTTTTTTTTAGAGAGAGTGAAAGAGGGAGAGAGAGAAAGAGAGAATTTTAATATTTATTTTTTAGTTATTGGCGGACACAACATCTTTGTTTTGTATGTGGTGCTGAGAATCGAACCTGGGCCGCACGCATGCCAGGCGAGCGTGCTACCGCTTGAGCCACATCCCCAGCCCAAGGGATCATCTTTTAAGAGGAAGAAAATGTTCAAGTCTGTCTCCCTCGAAGGCTTCTGCCTTCCTTGCCTGGAATTACTTTCTGCCTTCCTTGTCTTGGAATTACTTTCCCACTGACAGGATGCTCTCCTCCTTCCAGGCACTGGAAGCTATTTCAACTAGTTCCTGGGAAGATATGAAATGTTCACAAAAATTCCTTTTTCTCCTGAAAGAGAACATAGGAATAAAATAAACATTTTTTGTTTTTTCCATTGTGCAATGTGCTGCATCCCAGATGAAATGTTGAGTGTGAGGTTTCTAATATAGAGATTTGTTCATGGATGAAGCCCACTCACCTTGGAATTGACTTTTCCTGGAGTTCTGTCAAAGCAGTTGATCCTTTAAGATGAGTAGTGTTCCCGCAAGGCAGGCATGCCATTTTCCTTTAAGGATTTCTGACAATCGAAGCTCCTTGTCACCACCACTCTCCTTCCCTTTGGAAACAAGATCTCTCTGGTTTCAGGTCCTCTTTCCAGCTTTCCTTTTACATGTGAATATTTTATGTCTTCAGTAAGTGTCACAGTTTCTATGAGCATTTTGCAAAGGGCACAGCTAGTATAAAACTTAAATTCATGTTAATATATTCAACCTAGGAAGTCCAAATATCTCATAGAGGAAACAGATTCCCTTTCTTAAACACAGTTATGATAATGTGGCCAATGGTATGCAGCAACACCACAAAACAAATGTTATTTTCCAATGAGGTTAAAGGATGATTTTCCCACCATTGCAATCACTTAACTGGAATCAAGTAGACCAAGTTAATTATTTTGGTTAAATCCAATATGTAAAAATCTGGGTTTTTTCCACAAATTATAAAAATAGTGTCTATGCCTTGAACTGAGCCAAAATTAATAAGCCCTCCCTCCGAACAAGAATGAGTTCTGCTACATTCATCTGTCATTTGAACTCATCCTAACAGATTTCTCAATCTAAAAAATCTCAGAAGTTTCTTATTTAATTTGCTTTTGAAAAGACAAAATAAATTTGACATTTTCACTTCTATTAATTCTATTTAAATTAGTCATCTGTTGTTTGTTACAGCATTTTTATTAAGCATGTAGATTCTAGCTTTATACCACCTAAATTTAATCAGTGGAATTTTGCTATCTACTAATCATAGGATCCTGGGTAAGGTACTTAGCCACATGAAGCTTCAGGACCCAGTATTTTAGGCAGTAAGATAGGAATGATAAAAATTAGAGATGGACCTTATTTAAAGAATCACTAGAATGATAACCAAAATGTTCATAAGGGAGAGTCTGATAGCTAATAGTTGTTGGAAAATTGTTACGCACCTTATCATTATCCTTATGAGTAGTTGCTAGAGGCCAGGGGATACAGGCCCTACAAAAACCAATCATCCCTTCAGGGAGCTCACTGTTTCATGGGAGAAGCAATAGACAGTAGACATGTAAGCAAATGAGGCATAGCCAGTCCCTTTGGTAGGGACCATACTTAAGTGTCCAGAACAGACTACTGAACAACACAGAAAGGAGTCTTCCGCTTTCCTTGGGGATGTCAAAGGAGGTTTCATGTAGAGACAACATGTTCAGGCTTTGAAGGATAAGGTGAGTGGTGTTTGGAGGGAGGGAAACGGGATCAAATTAAGAGGAGGAAATCGTGTGCAAAAAAGACACCAAGTTAACAAAATATTGTCCCTAGATCATAATAGAAATCCAGCCCAAGTAAATATGCAGGTAATAAAGGATAGCATGATGCAAATCCCATCCTACTCTCAACACAGTGGGTTGACTTTGCTTGCCTGTAGTGCTCTGAAACCATTTGATGATTTGCATATTCCAAAAGCACAATATTTGTTCTGTGCCAATGCTGTCATTCAAAAACTGAATGCTTTTTGAACTGAGTGGCACCATTTCATCCCAACAATAGAACAATATTTGAATTTTATTGTGTTGATGATGTTCTTGTTCTAAGAGAGACCATGATGACACCCTTATAGCCAAGAAACACTTGGAGTCAGCTGAGCAGAGATGATGTTTTCTCCCTGTTACCTTAGCTCCAACCTCAGAGGTTATAAAATTCTTGGAGTTCTTCCTGCAGTGTGCTGTGCTCATTCATTAGCCCCAGCAGAGTCTTTTTATCTGGTTGGGTCCAATCTCCCCCTCCAAAGGCCTGCCTCCTTTTGCTGCTGAATAAATCACCCTGGGATATGACCAGACTGAAGAAAGATTTTTGTAGAAAAATTCCATCTGCATTCAACAGGCAGAGTCTTAGGCCCCCAACGAGAAAGAATTGAGAAATTGAAGAGATGTATCCCACTGCCAAGTTTGCTAATATGGTAATTAGCACAGATGACTTGGGGCAATGCCCCCATTCTTCCAACTCTCTGCCAGGTCTGAGCTCCCTTCTCAAATCAAGATACTTGTTACCCCACACGAGAGTTCCAGTAGGACTGATGGAAGGAGTGCAAGGAATTCGAAGGAAGAAGCAAGCAATTTTTCTCTATGAATAATTCCTCGACTTGATTATTTTATGAAGGCCTAGACAACTGCAAAACAGTCGCACTTAACTTCCAGTCCCATTGGGTAAGATAGCTAGTCTGGAAATTCTCTACAGTTATACTTTAATTCTTCTACAATCTGAGTTAAAAATAGAATCGACCCTCCTTCTCTTTAAAATTGAGAGTTTAATTTTGTTCTCTTTCTTGAGGAATGGTAGAATACAACTCTCAAGGGTTGGATTGGAAGGTATATTTTCCAGGGTGTGTAACAAATTCCAAAAATCTGCTGGTTAGGGGTAGATACAAACGTTAGAGGACTCTTTCCTCTTCATTCTGGGATTCTCTATGAAAGACAGGTGACCCATATGCCTGGGGGCGGGGCGGGCGGGTTAACAAGCAAAGAGTTAAACCTTGTGTTTCTGGGACATGGCCATTGCGAATAACCCAGGAGATGGTGGTGTGTGGTTGAGGAAAGGGGCATCCGCTTCAGAAGCTATTCTTTCTCAGGGCAATGAGGAGACAGGAGTTTCTTTTCAGAACAGGGAAATCACTCGCTCAGGGGAACTGGGGGCTGCCAGGCGAGGCGGTCATTTGGGCTTTCATGGGACGCCACTGGGCGCCGCGAAAGCGCCCAGGGCCTGACGTCATTGGCCATCAGCTGACTGTGTTCTGGGCCCGGGCTCCACCGGCTGCAGCCGCAGTCGCGGTGGCGGAGGTCGTGGCCACCACCGCTCCGCTACCTGAAGCCGGGCTTGGGACTGCGGCGGCCGCGCGCACTCTGAGGAAGCGACACTCAAGGAAACTGCTCAGCGAGGCTTGGCGGTGGCACCACGCACCCACCGCGCTGGGATTTGGTCTCCTGGAGCGCCGCCTCGGGCTTTGACCGCTACCGCGGTGGGCGGGAAAACCTGCGCCCCAGAGGGCCGCTGGAAATACCTTTCCCCAACAAGCTCTTCCCGCATCCCTACTGCTGGCGGGAAGAAACTGAGTGTGCGAAATTTGCAGGGGTCGCCCCAATTTTAATACCAGGCGCCCTCCACTCCTCTGGATCGGCGGAGTAAAAAGATTCCCGCAGGAAACTGTCTGCCTCTCGGATTGCGGCTTCTTGGGTGATCTGGGGCTTCGCCTGAAGTTGGCTTTGTCGAAAGACATTCGGTTGGGTAGCGGGGGGAAGAGACCCTCTATCCATTCGCGCTGTGCTCTGGGAGTCCGTGGGCAAAGCGGCCTACTAGTTCTGGCTCCGCACCTGCCGAGGACCAGAGCCAGTGCTTAAAAAAGAACAGCGGAGGAACCGACAGGCGCGGCCAGCTGGAGCGCTGGATAGTAGAGCCGAGGGAGGGCCAGGAGCGCAGCCGCCCGCGCCAGCCCGCAGGGGTCCTCTCCCACGCTGGTCCGCGCGTGTGGCTGCCTTCAGGACCAGGGGCGTCCTGGCCAGACCTGGGTGCGTGGTCCCAGACGCCACCACCACTCCAACCCGGGTTCCGGGGGCGTGGCTTTGCGCGGAGGCGGGTTTAAGTCGCCGCCGGTGTCTGACCGCTCTGACAGGTCCCCAAATTCCTCCCAGTCTCTTGGTCCCTCTGCGCGCTCCAAAGCGCTGGGTGGCACGCTGAGCTTCCCGGGGTCTGGAGGCGTTTCATCGACTCCCACGCGGCCTGGGGCCTGTTTTCTCTCCCAAACCTACTGCCGCGGCACCCGCCAACCTTCGGTTCTCAGCCTCAGGAATCCGCACCACTGGCTTCTCTGCGTACTCAGAGCTATGGCTTGGGAGCCCTCCCCACTTTTTCTTTTTCCCTTTTCCTACTCCTCCTAGCTCTGGGCCAAATGGACACCAAAGAGCGTAGTGAAGGGGATGGGAACTGTATGCTGACCTCTCAGAAGCACATCTGCAAGCGCTGACCTCATCTTATAGCCAAGGCTAGGACCCTGGGCCAGAGACCCTCCGCCTTCCTCACCAAGGGATGATTCTGGCCAGAGACAGCTCTGCGCTGTCAATCCTCGCTCTGGAAGTGGTGACAGCCAAGAACCAGCCAAGGAGGGAGCTCCAGCACACCTCTTCCTCCAAATTAACTATTTGGTGACTTGTTAGCACTGGGGCTACCACCTCTCCAACCTTCCCGAGAGGCGCCAGGTCACCTCATGGTCCCCCACTCCTCCTCCTTAATTGCTCCCGCCCCCAGCTCCGCCCCGGCTCCCCATCCCAGTGCAATGGAGTTCTCCGAAGGGCGATGAATCGAGCTACAGCTGCTAACTTCGGACCCCATCGCCGCCGCCGGTCACCCTCGGCCAGCCCCCCTACACTCGTCCAGCCGTGGGCGTCGGGAGACCAGTGCCGCAGCCAGGACCCGCCCGACGCGCAGCAGAACCACTGCGCCCAGGCGCCTGGGTGCCTCTTGGAGAGCAAAGGCTGCGCCAAGACGCTGAGCCTAGAAGGAGCCTAAGAAGAGCCTGAGCCCGGGAAGTGGGCTGCGTGCCTCAGAGAGCCACAGCTTCTTCAGACAAAAAACCACCACCACGGCTGCGTACCCAAGCTGCGCGAGTTGGCGGGAGGGTGGCTCTCAAGGACGCAGGGGTCTGCTGCAATCTTCCAGGAGCCCATTTACCCGGGCGCAGTATGACCTGACCTGCGGGGCCCCCTACCAAGGGTTCCTGCTACTAGGCAGCCTAGGATAGAGAAGCTCGCTGCCCAGCTCCTACCAGGACGTTTTCGGGTCTTTGGAAACCCCTTCCTTTAACTGCCTCCCCCAGGTTCTGCGCCTAGCTCCCTTGGCGCCATGGAGCTCTCGGATGTGCGCTGCCTTAGCGGTAGCGAAGAACTCTACACCATCCACCCGACGCCCCCGGCCGGCGACGGTGGGAGCGGCTCCCGGCCACAGAGGCTGCTGTGGCAGACGGCGGTGCGGCACATCACCGAGCAGCGCTTCATTCTCGGGCACCGGGGCGGCAGCGGCGGCGGCGGGAGCGGTGGTTCCCGCAAAGCCTCGAACCCTGTCGGCAGCGGTCCCAATCACCATGCGCAGCAGCTGTCCAGCGACTCCGCGCTTCCCCTATATTCTCTGGGGCCAGGGGAGCGAGCGCACAGCACTGGCGGCACGAAAGTCTTCCCGGAACGCAGCGGGAGTGGCAGTGGCAGCGGCAGCGGAGGCGGGGGCGACCTAGGCTTCCTACACCTTGACTGTGCCCCGAGCAACTCGGATTTCTTTCTCAATGGGGGCTACAGCTACCGAGGGGTCATTTTTCCCACCCTGCGCAACTCCTTCAAGTCTCGGGATCTGGAACGCCTCTACCAACGATATTTCCTGGGCCAGAGGCGCAAATCCGAGGTGGTGATGAACGTTCTGGATGTGCTGACCAAACTTACGCTCTTGGTCCTTCACTTGAGCCTGGCCTCAGCTCCCATGGACCCGCTCAAGGGCATCCTCCTTGGTTTTTTCACTGGTATTGAGGTGGTGATCTGCGCCCTGGTGGTGGTCCGGAAGGATACCACCTCGCACACATACCTACAGTACAGTGGTGTGGTCACCTGGGTGGCCATGACCACCCAGATTCTGGCGGCTGGCCTGGGCTATGGGCTCCTGGGCGACGGCATAGGTTACGTGCTCTTCACGCTTTTTGCCACCTACAGCATGCTGCCCCTGCCACTTACCTGGGCCATCCTGGCTGGCCTGTGCACCTCGCTGCTGCAGGTGATCCTCCAAGTGGTCATTCCCCGGCTGGCGGTCATTTCCATCAACCAGGTAACTCCTGCCTGTCTTGTTTTCACCTCCGGACTCCCCAGTAAATAGCTTCCACAGAGCCAGGGTTGCCTCACTCTTGAATCCCCTCCCCCAGCCTGGCACCTAGGTAGCTTTGGTGCCGGTGGGATCTTCTCTCTTTCTTCTTGGAGAAAGTGGAACTAAATGACCTCTCAAAGTTTCTGCCAGCTCTACCCTTTCATTCTGACATCAGCTAAAAAAAAAAAAATTAAAAAAGATTTATTTCTGCTACACACTCCCCCAGGGTCTGCAATCTGTGGAGCAGGTGTCAGAAGGAGGAGAAGCACCCAGATTTAGAAGGTGACCCTTAGTTAAGAGATTAACTCACTAGAGTCAGAGTCACCACAGAATGTTGTAAGGAACTCTGGGATTCACAATTGGGATTGTGCATTTCTCCGTGCCACAATCCTCAGCTCTAGAAGGAACCAATGTTTGTTAAACACTGCTGGTAATGGGTTCCCTACAAATGTTTGCTCACCCAATCCAATGACATGATTTTATTTGGGAATTTTTATTGCCTTGGAGACCTAACATGATTATCTTATCTCATTATCATATCCAACCCCAGTGTATAAACGAAACTCAAGAGTTGAAAGATGCCAGGAGTATTGGCAAAGAATGAAAGTTTTGATCAATTGAAAATGGGCATTTTGATGTAGATGGTTTGTAATATTTAGGGGAAATCTCATTCATTAGGTTTCTTTCTCCTTTCTCCCCACTTTTCTTCTCTTTTCTCATTAAATATAGATGTGTTTGTGTGAACAAACTTCTCATTGTCTATGGATGAGGAGGTGGACAAAGACTCCATTGTTTAAATTCACTCAAACCAATTGATAATTAATGACCTGACACTTCCTTTACCAATCGTCTGGGGAGTGCATTTGGGGGGCTTGTCAAGGATGCACACATACCAATGGCAATGTTTTTAGATAGAAGGCTGATGTGAGGTACTTGGGCAAGGTGGGCATTTTGCCTATTCCTGCCCCGTCCCCAACCTCTTCTGTCCTTTTCTATCACTTTTGCTGTGTTAGAAGACATACTCCTCTGCCTTGTGGTTGAGTTTGAATAGATAGTTCTCGGACTAAACAGGCAAAGCACTACTGAAAATTACAGACAATTTTTAGATTGCCAACCCCATTAGAATGCTTTACTATCATTGATCTCTAGGCTTCTACTTGATTCGGCCTTGTCTCTTCTGATGGCTCTATATCCATTTGCTCAGGTTACTTATCTGGTTGGCTGCCCTTTCAGTGCTTTTTGAAGTGTCTCTGGATAAAGCAGAGAGCATATAAAATACATGACTGTGATCATCAGGCATGAAATTGGAAGATAAGAACCTATAAGGATCAATCCACTGAATGTGTCCCTTATAAAAGACAAGAATGAATATTTTCTCAAAATTGTCATGAACCTTACAAATAATAATGTTTCAATTGGGGAGAAAGAGTAATATTATTTATTTGAAATGGCATAAAATTATCCAGTGTATTAGCTGTTTCTCAAATCTGTATACACATAGATCTGAAACACAATATATATAAATCTATTTTCACCAAAGCTCTTTCTTTCTTTGCATTTTTTGATTATATATTTAGACATCAGCATTATCTTTTCTTTATTCTCTTGCTCTTCTTTTCCTCCCCTGCCAGTCCTCTTTTTTTCCTTCCCATTTCCTTCTGTCTTTAAAATCTAACTCATTATGAGTTGTTTTCACAATATACCATAACTATCTGATCATGTGCAGAAAATTCCATTTCTTATAAGCCACCACTCTTCACACAGTAGCCTTTCTTGGTACATGCTACTAAAAGACTTCATCAAGTAAGTTTGGAGTAGTATTTAGAATAACACATCCTAAGTGGCAAATTACGAATATTTTCAAAGTTCTAAGTATAGAGATCTTTTCCTTGCCAAGTGAATCCAGAAAGGAAATTTTGGCTCCATATTTGTTTTATACTCTACTCAAATACTACCAGATGGAAGATTAAAAATAACCCCCATGTCTCCCCACTCCCACCCCATAAGGAACAGCCCTCCACTGTGAAAACTGAGGTCCTGATTCATGTAAACCAAACCCATCCACCTTCCTGATTGGGTAGGATTGTAGATAAACTGTGGTTTCCTAGGTCCAGCCACCTGTCACAAGACTGGAGGAACAACCAAAGCGCTCTCCCCTCTGTAGGTGCTGAAAGATCCCTTACACGTTTTCCTTTGGTGCCCTCTAGGGGTTTAAGCTTCTTTCCTAGATCTTGTAGATAGATGAAGGGGGAAATTAATCTCCTTTAAAAATGTCTGTGATTTTTGAAGAGATACTGTTTAGTTTTCCCTATTTGATAGTATATGCAACAGGCTTCAAAGCTGATGCTGACATTTAATAGCACCTAAAGTAAAATCCTAACTCCTCATCATAGCCTACTCCATCCTCTGCTCTAAGTTGGTTGCTGCTTCTCTCTCAATTGGATTTCCTTCTCTACTTCTCCTCAAACTTGAAGTACTGTGTCTATTTTAAGTCTTTCAAATGTCCCAGGTCTTTTCTACTTCTGGGCCATTGTTCTTGCTGCCTAGAACAAATATTCCCAGGTCTTCATAGGATAAACACATTCCTATGATCATAAACTCTCAAAATTCAGTCTAATTCATGAGTTGTTTTAATTTCTCTAGAGAAGGTACACCATAGATGCAAGAGGGTTGTCTATCATATTTGCCATTTTATCTTCAGCATCTATAGAAATGTCAAACATACAGTAGATAACCAAGTCACAAAATGAATGAACTTATTCATCATATGGGTGATATTATAGAATGTACAAGTGCCCTGTATTGTGCATACACATGCATACACATAAGGACACACAGTTAAATTATATGTGTGTAAGGCAGTCTCTTTCCCTCAAAGATATTTTTGAAAAATCAAAGCACAATGCATTAAATTTGTATGATATTTTGCATGTTACTAAGGGCCTTTATATGTGATGAGAAAGGCCTTTATGATGTCAAATAGATGGTTCCTTAATTTTCATTTTAAAGTAAAATGAAAGATTCTTAGAAAAGGGACATCCTGAATATCAGCAGCCTAGCAAGTAGTGAGGGCAAGATGCAAACCCTGGCTCCAGTGCCAGTCATTCTTGAGCAACCATTCAAGGGTTAGCCTTTTGAACACAGCATTTGGAATTGTTCCAGAGTGAAGAGTACCTGTTTCACTGTTCATCAGTAATGCCTCATATAGTTCATGAATGAACATCTAATGAAGAAGCCAAAGGGAAATTATGAGAGAAAAATGATAGAATTGCTAGGCAAAGATTCTTTGTAACTAGCTCATCGTCATGCTCAGCTGGAGACAAATTTGTCAACCAAAGGCCATAAACCCTAGAATATCATCTTTCTCTACATTAATCTTAATTCCCTTTAAGAGGATGGCTCCGGATGAATTTAGCATTTTCAAGAATCAGGAAACTGAAACGAGAGTAGGGAGTCAACATACCTTGGCAACTGTTTCACTTCACTGGAAATGTCATTTTCAGGAGTAACAAATGAGCCAATGATTGCATGCCCTTAATCCAAGCCATGCGGCTCTGCTCCTCGTCTGTTCCTCCTGCGGGAAATCACATCTGTGGCTTGACAGGGCAACAACCACACTACACGTCTCTGCAGACACACAGTATGAAGAGACAAAGCCCGTTGTCAATTTGAATTGCAACTGTAAATACAGGATGGAACCTATAAGGGGCCATCTGGGAGTCTCCTCACCAGCAAAGACATGGTGTATGTTTTCCCACTCAGATAACAATTAGGCTAAAATCATTAACTTCCCGCCCAAGTGAAGAGATTCTGGTCCAGGGCAGATATGATTACCCATTGTATTTTCTGAACTGAGTGACACTGGAATTATTTAAAGACCTTCCAAAGTTTCAAAGCTCAGTTTGAAGGACGCCTTTCATTTCACCTGACCACGCTCAGCAATGGGAAGCTCTAAGGCTGTAGTTATTCCTTCTTTGAAAACTCCACCCAATTTCACTTTGATCAGCTTGCGTATGTGATTCAGACCAATGGCAGGAATGCCTTCCCCAGACTCTCAGACCCTGATATGTTTGTTGATCCTGCCAGTTCAATGTATTCATCAGAAAATTCATTAGAAGATGACATTACATACATAAATAAAATATTAATCATAAGGTTATATTTACTAGGTTCTTTCATAGAGTAGATCGGTTCTAAGCACTGTTGCTATAATTAGCATTTTACTCTGTTTTAATTGCTGGTGGCAATAATAAGAGCTACCTAACATTTGAAAGTCATCTCATCCTCATTCTTCAGCTCATTAGTGATAAGATAGTGGAAATCATTTATTTATTGGAAAACTGAGAGGCAGCAATGTTTAACCAGAAGATTGCTGCATTAGGCTTTCCTCTGGGGGATTCTAAAATGTTACAGCTAGTGGCCAATTAGTTTTCTGTGCCTGTAAGTAAGGTGGATAAGCAGAAGTGTCAGAGTGGAGGTGATTTCTCCAAGATAGCTCTATAAGCAAAGGCAGCCAGGTATGCAAATCCAGGTCAGTGAGTGCTCAAGGTCATTCTGTCACATTTGAATTTCCCTTACAACATTTTCTTTCCTGCCTTATATATATCCTGTCAAACAGCAGAGTCTAGCACCAGAAAATGCTAAGTAAGTAATGATCCTTAAACCTGCCAAACAACGAGGGACATTTAGTCTACCATTTGACCCTTAAAAAAGCCTTTAGGAGAGAGTCAATTTTTTTCATATTGAGTAAAATAATGGAGCATGGTATGAGCAGATGAGGTTAGGGGACAAGAAGCCTCTATGGGAGGCTTGAATATGCATGTCTGATTACTTAAATGAAGGGCTGACTTCACAGTGAAGATAAACCTGTATAATGGAATTACCAACATCTTCCCCATTTATACAATTTAAACATAAGTGTAGGATATTATATGTTCTTTGTCTGTGTCTAAGGCTCTTTGTAGCTAACTCAAATCAAATCAAAGGAATCTTGTGAGCACTTAATGTATGATAAATGGCTTGTAACTTAAATCACTCCAATTAGGTAGTTGCTACTAAGGTAAACACTCACTTCAGAACACATAAATATCCATTAGGTGAATGTGGCTGGGATCTGCTTAATACACCTCACTGGTTGGTATGTTACACTCTCCAGGACCCTAAACACCTCCATTATTACCTCCATTTCTGTACATTCCCTTAGCAAATTCACACAGGCTTTAAGAAATAATTGCAACATCCCGGGGTGTCTGAGAAAAATGACTTTCAAAAACAGATTTGAGTGTCAACCTTCCCAAGAGGTTCCTCTGAATGCCAGAAAATGGAGGCATTATTCTCTCTTCCTTGTGAAAAATACGCAATTGCCCTTTTCATCCTTTCTTTCCCTCTCTCTCTCTCTCTCGTGCATGCTCTGTCTCTTCCTTCCTTTTTCTTTTCTTTTTTCTCCTCTTTCTATCGTACGGGAGGAGGACAGGCTTTGTAAAGGGTATTTTTAATGACAGCTGCAATGACCAGTTAAATCCCTCCAACCCTGGCCTGAACACAGCTTTGTCCTGGAGTCTCAAATAGGTTTTGTGTCTGTGTATTTAGAGAGAGTTGTAAACTGATTGTGTGGTGTGTGCTTTGCAAGATTGAATTATGAATTTGTTTTCCTTCATATCCGGTAATATCACTTGACTGGTATCAGTGGGCCAGAGCATAATTAGATTAGAACTGGGAAGACTGGGGGCCTCTGCTTCTGGAGCAGCTGCTGCAATGTCGTGCTAAGTAGGACAAATGCATTAGTCATATTTACACTTTGATGATTGATGGCATTTTAAGAGCTCATCAAAAATAAGTAAAACCAAGCATAAAAAGAAAAATTTACCAAAAAAAAAACAAAAACAGTTTATCCCGAATTCAGTACTGCTGGCAACATGTAATCAAAGGACATTGCTACAATCATCAGAGGTGACATTTCACTGTTATCTAAATATTTCTTGGGATGCTAATTTATTCATTTCACAAGTATGTCTATTTGAGTTGATCCTACATGTGTTTATTTCCAGAGCATAGAAGACACTATTCATCTTAAATCTTTCCTCTTGCCAGAAAATGGGCACAACATTGATTCTCAGAGAGACCAGGAGACCCAGAATATACACAGTTGGGCAACACATCAGTTCACTTGACAGTTTCTTCTGAAGCATATTCTTGGTTTTGTCTCTGGGCTGAAATTAAAGTAACAGGACCTAAAGGTTGGCAGCAGTATGGGAGTTTGGAGAGTGTTTGCAATACCTTGGTTTGAACCTCAGTTAGCCAGATAATGGGCTATATAAATCAAATCTTCCCCAGGATTTCCTTAGGGCTAGAGTGCAGGAATGCTGCTCTCACCAGCCACCACCAAGCAAGAAAAGTCGGTATAATCTGCCCTGTGCTTCCCCAGGAAATGTAATTGGATTTACACACTCCAATTCTATCATGTGAGTTTTGTTTATGAAGGACTATTTTAAGAAGTCAGGTCACTTAAGCAGCGCTTCAGAAGCCAGCTTTTCTCACTGCAAGATTTTTCACAGTCAGCTCTGTGGGGTGGAGAAAGAATGCAGAGTGGATTAATTAACCATGGAGATGCCAGACATTCTGTGGGAGGCCCAGCCACATCCTGGGCCTAATGAAGGCTCTTTTATCATCAGCAAATGCCTCCATGGGTTACCTTCTCAGCAAACCAACTGGTTATGGCACGTGTTGTCAGGTAAACCTGCATCTGCTGGTTTCTTTGATATCTATGCATTGGACTCTTAATAGGTGCCTGTAATTTGAATCTCGTTTGGCTAGATCATACATTTTAATACATGTAAAGCATCGCACATCTAGGAGTTCCCTTTTACTCCACCTCCTGCCTTACAGCCATAAACTCTGGTGTTTCACTTTGCAAAATGTCTCTGAAGCACAAAACCCCCCACAACAGGACCTGATAAAGTTATGCATGGTGAAGGCCCGAGCTAGATATGCAATAAATCACATTGATGTTTTATGGTTTCTCTTTCAACAAGAGAAGGTTTAAAAGTACCATCTCTATATAAAAGGCATATCCATGTAAGATTTTCACATTAAAAAAAAACTATAACCAATTTGTAAACAACCCATCTTTGTCCTGTGCCAGCTAGTTTTCCAGTTAACTAGAGCAGACTATTTCAGAATCAGAATCTTTCCTTTGATGTGTGTGTGTGTGTGTGTGTGTGTGCCTATGTGCTTGTATGTAGAGTAATATGATTTCTTATAAAATAGACACTGCTGAGGATTAGGCAATGCAGAATCCAAATACATGTCTTTCTTCAACTTAGAACACAATGAATGCTACATATAAAATCAAACAGAATGAGAGTAAAAACCACCACCAACAACAAAACGTGAGCATAACACCCTGAGAGTAGAAGGTATGTAGAAGGAAGGTATGACTGTCCTCCTTGTTTGGGGTTCTCCCATGACAAACAGTCTGATTGTTTTATATGAGTCTCCTATGGGATGGAATAAAGACCAACAGCCATTACAGCAGAAGAAACTTTGGTTTACTGAAAGGTGAGGCTTATCCAGGGGTTTTTTTGAAGTGATGAGCTTCCTGACATGGGATTCATCAAGGGAAAGCTGTACATAGAACAATCCATCAGGGATGTCACACAGGAGATTCCTGGATAGGGAAGTCTTTCCCCAAGGTCAACTGAAAGCAGTAACTATATCTACTAGCTATCATGGTGACTCTGCTGGCAAGAGAAAGGAAAAGGCAAAGGGCATTAGGTGAAAACTCTCAAGGAACATGTCACCTGACTTTGCTGAGCTCCTCTGAGATACTTGCCCAACAAAGCCTGTTTATATTTTAGGGACCAGAATTATGACCATAAATAAGAAATGTTGAAAAAAATAGACTTTACTGCCCCTTAAAAACATCAAGATTGGGTTAGAAAGAATGAAAGAAGCAGGACTGAGTAAGTAAAGTATTCACAGATTGGTGTTGGCATCCTGCTGGGGTCCAAGTCCGGGACACAGAGGTGTACTATTAGATCAGGCTGTTGCTGCATTGGAGCTGAAACCGGGATGGGTCTGGGGAGGAAGTTGGTGACTCCAGGAAAAAGGTTGGCAGATTTATATCTGGCTGCTAGACACATTTGAGAGCACAGAACTCAGCAAATATTTTACACAAATGCAGGTCTTTGTTCCTTTTACTACAATCCTCTAAAGCATGAAACTCCAGACCTGCAGTGGATTTCTCTTAGGAATGATGTGAAAGGAAAGATCAGACCCTAGAAGAAGTCGAAGACATGGTAGACAGGTGTGGCCCTTCCTTCCTGGTTAAGAACCTGGGGAAGGGCTGCCAGTTCAGTCATTTGAGCATCACTTAACACAAACCAAATTACTCACAAGCCTGGTGACCTGCAGACATGGTCATGCTCCCTAAGGAGCATCCGCCTCATATTAGGCACGGTCCAGCTGGTCTGCAGCTCTGAGGACTCCCATTTACCCTGTTAACAATGACCTCTGCTAAAAATTGAGAAACTTCTCTGGGGCTCCAGACCATCCATCCCCATAGAGCAAGGGCAG